ACCGGGACGGCGCCGGAGGCCGGAGCCCGGCGGTGCGGGGTCAGCCCCGCGCCCCCAGCGCACGAACGGCGGGGGAACGGCGGCACCGAGCCGCGACGCGCCCTCCGGAGCTTTAGCCTCGTCTCTTCCTTCCTCAAGTCCCGTTTCCGTGTTTTTCTCAGCCCCGTTCCCAAAAACATCCGTTCGCACTAAGAACCCGTTCCTCCCCCAGCGGTTCGGGCCGGTGGCTCAAACTGGGTCAAAAACCCCATAAAACGGTGCAGGCGGTAAAGTTTTACCTTCCTAGCCGGTTCAAGGTGACATTTCTAGGGCGTGTGCGTTACCGGGGAGCTCGGCCGGGAATCGCCGCCGTCCCCGGTGGGTTTGGTGCCGGGGGGGCATCGCTGGGCGGGGGGGGTCCCGGGTAACCGGCTCTGCACCGGGTCCACCGGGTCTGGGTCCCAGATAACTGGCCCTTCACCGGGTTCTGGTCCGGGATAACCAGCCCTGCACCGGGTCCAGGATAACCGGTCCTTTACCGGGTCCCGGTCCCAGATAACCGGCCGTTCTCCAGGTCCGGGATAACCAGCCCTGCACCGGGTCCAGGATAACCGGTCCTTTACCGGGTCCCGGTCCCAGATAACCGGCCGTTCTCCAGGTCCGGGATAACCAGCCCTTTACCAGGTCCAGGATAACTGCTTTACTGGGTCCCAGTCCCAGATAACCAGCCGTTCTCTGGGTCCAGTATAACCAGTCCTTTACCGGGTCCCGGTCCCAGATAACCGGCTGTTCTCCAGGTCCAGGATAACCAGCCCTGCACCAGGTCCACCAGGTCCTGGATAACCGGCCCTTCACCAGATCCCAGTCCCGGATAACTGGCCCTGCACTGGGTCCACTGGATCCGGGTCCCGGATAACCAGCCCTTCACCGGGTCCCGGTCCCAGATAACTGGCCCTGAACTGGGTCCACCGGGTCCAGGTCCAGTATAACCAGTCCTTTACCGGGTCTGGGTCCTGGATAACCGGCCTGGGTCCCGGATAACCGGCCCTGCACCATCAGACAGAGCCGCCCGTTCCCCGGAGCCGCTGTGGGGCTGGAAGCTCCATCCCCTGCCGTGTCCCCCTCCTCCCAGGCCGGGCACACCGAAAATGGAGCCACGTCCCGGTGGCATTTGTGCCACAGACCCCACTGGTGGAACGGAGCCGGCAGCACCGGGCAAAGGGGGGAAAAACCTTCCCCGGTCCCGCTCTGTCCCAACACTTGCTCGTCCCCGCTCTGTCATTTGCTGTTTTTCTTGCAGCAATAGCTTTTTTTAGGGGCCACTGCACAAACGCTGTGTGAGGGGAAAGGCTTTTCTCTCTCCACAGAGGCCGGACGCAGCCGTGGCTCCTGCTAATCCCGTGGGATGAGTGGGTTTGATCCAGCTCTTTCCCGAGTCCCGACAGGCAGGTGATACCATCTCTCCTCCATCAAACAGCTAATGGGCAAAAAAACTGCTTTGCCCAAAGCTACGGGGAGTCATCCCGAAATCCCAGCACTTCCTTATCTCCCCGGGGGGTCGGGGGAGGCTCAGGCTCGACAGGAACCGGTTGCTGGAGCGTGTTTGGATAAATCCTCCCCAAACTTCTGGGTGCACAGAGCTCTCACACGACGGGTTGTCGGTCCTGGGGGCCGGGGGCTCGGAACGCCCCGCTCCCCGGGGCCCCACAACTGGTAGATCTCGTTTGCTGGCGGGGTTTGTCTCTGCAGAACAAATGAGGAAACACAACTTTAACTTTCTGGGAGGGCTTTCCACCCGCCGGCCGGTCGGTGACTGCACCGACGTGGGCTGAACCTCCCCAGAGCAGCTTGTGAGGAATTCCCTGCGTGTTTCTGAGCGTGGCTCAGCCCAGTGGAGCACGGTTGAGCTTTTTATCTGCTCTTCCCACCCCCCAGACAAATTTATAATGCCCCCCCAGCACTGCCCAAGTGGGCTGTGAGGGTGGTGGGACCAAAGTGTTTATTGGTAGTGGCCAGCAGAAAGCCATGTCAGAGCAGGAAACACCCAAAACTGGGAAAAATCATAGAATTGTAGGATCATAGAATGATTAGAGTTGGAAGGGACCTTAAAGACCATCGAGTTCCAACCCCCTGCCCTGGGCAGGGACACCTCCCACCAGCCCAGGTTGCTCCAAGCCCCCTCCAACCTGCCCTTGAACCCCTCCAGGGATGGAGCAGCCTCAAATCAGCGTGTGGAGGAAGAACCCCCCCAGTTAAACGCTGCAGGAAGGGCCAGTCCTCTTTCTCTGGGCTGTGCTGGGTGGAAGCGGAGCCCCCCCTGCCCCGTGTCCGTGCCCCATCCCCTTCCCTCTGCTCTTCCCTCCTCTCCAGGCGATGGATTCTCCCTACGCCAACGGAGCCTACAGCCCCCCGTACCCCCCGGCGGCGGGTGCTGCCCCACACTACGCCGTCCCCCCGCAGACACGGGGGTACTACTGCTCCAGGGCCCCACGCACCTCCTACCCCACCGACTCCACGGGCATCTACCGGCCCCCCTCGCCCGCTCCCCCCTGGAGCTACGTCCCCCCGGACGGCCCCGTCGAGGGCTCCTCTCTCCGCAGGCAGCAGGTTCCCGGCTACTCCCCGCCGCAGGTAAGAGCCGTTTCCAGCCCCGGTGTCCATGTAGGTGCTGGGCTTCCCCTTCCCGGGGGGAGAAGATGATGTTTTATGGGGCCACAGCAGAGGGAAAGCCCGAGGTGCCTCCTCCGATGGATCCGTGGGTCCTAACGGCACCTTCTCCTGCCTGTTTTATTATAAAAAGTGGTGGTCACCCATTCTCCAAAGAATCCAAGTTTGTGGGCTGGGAAAGCGGCAGGAATTGGGCAACAAGGCTGTTCCTGGGGCTGGCTGGAGGGACCCGGGGGTAACGCCTGTCCCCCCTTTTCTTACAGACCCCGGGCATGCCCATCCCGCAGTATCCGTACGGAGACAATCCCGGGGTGACGCCGCAGGGGCCTCCGCCACAGCCCAGAGCCCCGGAGGACTCGTGGGGTCCCCCCATCTATGGGGTGCAGCCCCGTTATGCCTGGCCCGCTGCCCCCACCCTCGGGAGCCCCTTCGTCTCCGAATCGCATCCACCCTGGACCGGCAGTGGAGCTGCTCCCCACCCTCCCACGTGGGACTCAAAGGTATGGCCGATGCTCCTGCAGTCCTTCTGGCTGCCCTCGGACCCCTGAGGTTGTAGGGCTTTCCCCAGAGCCCATCCCCATCTCCTGGGAATGCCCCTTTCTCCGGGCACAGTTGGTGTAGGTGGAAACAAAGCAGCAGGTATCCAGAGCACTGCCAGCAAAAATCTCCTGTTTGCATCCCAAAATCCATGGCTGGAGATCCCAGGAAGGTGCTGGAGATCCCAGGAAGGTGCTGGAGATCCCAGGTGTCCCAGGGCAGGTCTTGAAATGGGTCAGTCCTGGTCTTGCTCCTCCAGTTCTTCTCTCCCAAGCAGCACATGGTGTCAGGAATCAGCAGGACCAACCCCCCGGACAGTTTCCAGACTCGGATATTCCTCTGCAAGTGCCTGGTTTGGGCACAGTCACCCTCTGCTGAGGAAGGATTTAAGCCAAAAATTTAAGGAAGTGATGTATTTGGTGGGGTCTGTTCATCTCGGGGTCCTCTGGGTTTGATCAGGAGGTTCGGTCCCCGGAGCAGCCCTGATGGGGTGGGGGGATTTGGGGGGGTTTGGGAACAGCTCAAAAGTGCTACCTGCAAAGAAGTGTCTTCTCCAGAATATCCAAATGGGATCCAAATCTCCCCTCTTCCTGGGTGACAAGTGGCCCACGCTGTTTCTTCCAGACACGTCCCTCTTGCCAGGGATCTGCTCTTTAACGGCCCAGGACTGGAGCGTGGGTCCTGTGTCCCTCTTTGGGACCTTTCACAGATGTGTTATGATGTCACGGTGTGGGACAGTCTAGAAAATCCTGCCCAGGTCCCTGGTAACATCAGGCCTGACCCATCCTCCCAGACCCAGAGTGTGGGTCCCGTGTCCCTCTTTGGGACCTTTCACAGCCCGTTTGGCAGGACAGGGGGTGCCAGCCCCTGGGGACACGACGTGTTATGACGTCACGGTGTGGGACAGTCTAGAAAATCCTGCCCAGGTCCCTGGTAACGTCAGGCCTGACCCCATCCTCCCAGACATGCCCACCTCAGAGCCGTCACCGTGTCTCCTGCCCCCCCCTTCCCTCAGCCCTGCCTTTCCAGTGCCAGATTAAACACCCAGGGGGTTGAAGGAAATGCTCTTCAGGGTTTTTTTTCTCCCTCCAACTTTAGGACAGCGCTTACGACAGCCCCGAGCCAAGCCCAAAACAGCACCACTACTATCCTGATGCCCACCACCAGCACGCTGGGACAATGAGTGACCCCAAGCCAGCCCCCCCCAACCCCCGGGTGCAGTACAGTGCCCAGCCCCACATGTATGACACTGCCCCTCGGAAGCCCTCGACCAACAGCCGGGGGGCTGGTTTTAAACCCAACGACCAGCCTTCGACCAATTCTGGAGCCATCCAGCCCGAGATCCAGCGAATCCTCCAGGTGGTGGGGGAGGCTGAGCAGCTGGAGCAAGAGGTGGATGAATTCGTAGGAAAAAAGACAGATAAATCCTACCGGCTCCTGGAGGAGATGTTGACCAAGCTGCTGCTGGAACTGGATTCCATCGAGACTGGTGGCCAGGACAGTGTTCGGCAGGCCAGGAAAGAGTCCGTCCACAGAATTCAGGCCATACTGGAAAAACTGGAAAGAAAGGGATTGTGAAAGCACATCAGCCACAACACACAGGCCGTTGTTGAGGCTCCAAAGAGTTTTAGTTCTGTTAAATCTCAGCTCTTTCTGCTACGCACTATTGACAATGGAATAGCAATAAGCCCCGACTTAAACACACAAATAAAACCACCAACCGACCCCCCCCCCGCCAGCCCAGCCCCAACCAACAACCCGGCAACG